TGTGCGCACTCTGGTGCGAATATGACAACAGGCCGGTTTAGCTCGCACGCTCGAGACCATAGCCATCGATGTGTTGTATCCAGGAGACTCGCATTCAAGACTCCAGCTCTACTGTCCGATTGAAGTCCCCCTCCAAACCCATCAGTGAAGTTTCACTTACGCCTCTCTGGCGACCTTGAGGCTGCGGCTTCCGGCCTTGCTGGTGTTGGTGTGGCTCTCAGTGAGAAAGCGGAAGCCGCGCTTCTCGACTGGATCCCAGTCGACAGTAGGTTGTGCGCATTGAGGTTCGTGCAAAGTAAGCAGCCGTCGCCCCGATAGATTAAACCTGTTTGTCGTGTCGGTGTACGCCCGAATGGACTGTAGCCCAGATGCAGTCAAAGATGAATTTTGTCATAGCCTACACGACCTCTTACATAGAGCGAGTCGGGCTGATATCGGGATTTTATCAGGAGACATGAATGCTAGAGTAGACCGACTGACTTCGAATGAGGCGCATTTGGGTGGTCCTTTCGGACTAGATTCCTGTCGCTCGGAAAACGGGGAACGGTTGTTGGCTCTGCGTTTCGACGACCACCTATTCCTCGCCAGTACGAACTTAAGACGCTCCAACTGCCGGTACGCCACTTGGCGTCCGCCCTCCTCAAGTCATAGACGAACGCAGATCGACCACATTGCGATAAGTCGCACATGGCGGGGTTTCATACAAGAATGCCGATCATACTGAAGCAGTTCCCTCGAATTCGACCACGCGTTAGGTTGCGCTTAGCTGTCCATGTGCTTCGGTGGGCGTTCTAACCGTACGACACACTGTCGGTTAGACTGTGATAAGTTGTCTCAACCAGCACGCCCAACCGTCTTTCAGAACGCGTTAGCTGAAAAGCTAGAACTAACCCCACCTGATGATAATAACCAGCACTGGTTGCTTATCAAGAATGCTATGTATTCTGTTGGCTTAGTTATGGTCAGACACGTTGTGCTGGGACACCCTGGATTTCTGTGGAGTCTCTACGGCTTCTCGACGCAGGCCGATCGATTCCGACCGGCAGCGAGCATAATGAAACACGACTCGTAACGAGACGTGAACTTAATGCAAGCCTAGGCAGAGACCGCGAGATTTGGTGGTCTCAACGTGCACCAGAGATGGTACGTGCTGCCGCCATGGGTATTTCCCATAAGCTGTTCTATCTCATCCGGGTCACCGGTAGGAAAGCCTTGGGTGTGAGCGAAACGATCTGCGAAGCTGACGGTTCGCTCATTCACAATCAACAGCGACGTCTTGAACGATGGGCGGAGCACTTCAAAGAACAGTTTAGCTGGCCTCCAGCGTCAGCTTCTCACACAGCTATTCCGGCACGCTCCCCATGATCTGTCTCAACGGATCCACCTTCTGAGGCGGAAATCCATAAGGACGTCACGAAGCGCCGGACTCCGATGTCCTTACCCAACTCTATTTCAGGATGGTCGAATAAAGCTTATTAGAGAACTACAAGTTTTGTTCTCTAAAATGTAAAACACTGAGCAAGTCCCCTCCCCGTGGGGGGGAATCAGTTGTTGTCCCCATCTTCAGAAAGGGCTCGCGCAATGATTGCGTCATAGGGGTTATAAGCCTGATCCCAATTGCGTCAAAGCTGTT